TATTTTGAAGTAGGGGTGTTGGGGTTGTGACATCGATGTCCTCATCACTGTCATTTAGGTCAGCTCTCTCCCTGGGAAACTTAGATTTACTACCACTATGTTGTTCTTCCTTGATGTTAGAAAGGTCGGGATATGTGGTGGCTGGTTCAGCATATTCGAGCTCCACCTTCAATGTGGTACGCTTGAACTTTTGGAATTTTGTTTGGGTTGTGAAGAGCTGGCCAGCATCAACCTGAAATGAAAAAGTTATTTTAGTTAACATACATATTTTGGTGGTGTCATGATGTGAATGTTTTGAACAACAGTTGAAGGTCATGCATCATTAAAACCAAAATCAACCAAAGACGTTGATTTTATCTTCTTCTGTAAAGTAGTCAGGTCCCACTTGACACAACGAGGAATGACATTAGGCTTGTGGGGTTTTAAGATGGTTGTGTGTTCACACAAGCAGTACTTCAACAAAATAACAAAGACATATGTTATTTAGCCATTTCAAAGCAATTTCAACAAATGTGAACATTCACAACAGTGGAGCAGAAGTGAATGTTGACATTTACAACAATGGCACAGATGGGAACATTCACAACAGTGGAGCAGAAGTGAACATTCATAATAGTGGAGGAGAAGTGAATATAGACATTTACAACAATGGCATAGATGTGAAGATTCACAGCAGTGGAGTAGAAATGAATATGAACATTGACAACGGTGGCACAGATGTGAATGTTCACAGTTAGAGAGAGAGAGAGAGGTAGGGGAGAGAGTGGTATTGTTATGTAGGTTTGGAAAGGTGGTTTTGGGGAATGTGGATATAAGAGAGAGAGAGAGAGAGAGAGAGAGAGAGAGAGAGAGAGAAAGAGAATGGAGAAGAGGGGTTGGACTGTGTTATGATTGAGGAAATAAATGGGTGGAAGTCACCCTTAAACTACCATTCTAGTAGGCGTTCTGTAGTATAGCCGACGATGGGGGCAAGAATGTTTACTGATGAGAAACCTTAACTAACAAGAAAAAACATAGGGCACTCGGTCCATAAATACAAAATTGATTTTTTTTTTTGCCCAAAAGTCCACCCTTTGAAATATTATGTCCATAAGGATAAGCTCTCGTAAAATGACCAAAATATCCACATATATATACTTATCGTACACCTCATTTCTCACCTCAACCCTTTATTTTTCGAAACCCTCTCTCTCTCTCTCTCCATCCCCCATCAATTCCCACGGATTTGAAAATGGTTGAAAGAGGCCAACGAAGTGAGCGAAGCACAATCAAACTCCCTATAGACATTGACGAAGATCGACCCACTCCGTAATCCCAAACTCCAAAAGCACAAAAGTAAAGACCATAGTCTCATTCGTCTCCTCAATGTTGATCTCAAAGTTCTTCAAGGGTTTGGTATTATTGCGTTCTTGATTGTCTTTTTCATGATTTATTGACTTATGATTGCCGTTGAACATCCTCAGAAACCCAGAATCGTGACCTTATTCCTTGCCCCAAAGATCATGAATTTTCCTCTCTCTCCTCCTATTTGAACCCTAGCAACCATCTCCACCGCTGCCTTATCGTCGTCAACGAAGGTGCAAAGGACACCTTCGAAAGCCGATCTGATGTTGAGAATACACGACAAGTCTAAAGATCTATATCCATATCTATCTTCTCACATAGAAAAGAATCGTGCCGATGTTAGGGAGTTTGGACATTACATAGGAGAGAATTAAGAAGGTATTAGGGTTTAGATCCATCACCCAGAGAGAGAGAGAGAGAGAGAAAGAGTTTTAGAGAGAGAATCACTAGTGTTCTATGGGTGTGGGTTTTTTTTTTTTTAAGTTTTGCATCTTCAAATTTCAAGTAATTTTGATTTCTTACTTCAAATCGAAGATGTTAGGGTTTTCAAATGAACTACGAGTAGAAAAACCGGAAGGAACAATTCAATTCGCTTACTAGAATATGAAATTGAGGAAATAACAAATCTCTCATTGATTTTTCGTATGCAAACCTCATTTCTCTTGCTGTTGATGCTCTCACTTGCTTCAAATTCGCTTTCACATTGATTCATATATATATATGTATAATTGTACTAGTTTGTTTTGTTTTGGGTTTCAAGTGATTATAATGATTTGTTTAGTTTGAAAAACATATCTGGTGTAGTGAATTGTTAAGTTATGATGAGATCACTGACATTGTACACATGTTTTTCTTTGATTTTCAAGTTTGATTATCAGATTTGTACTTCTCCATAAGCTTGAAGTCAGCGGAGGTGTTGTTAGACGGTGGAGATGAAACTAAAGAGCAAACAAAAGGCAAACCCGAAAAGAGAAAGATGAACAGAAGTGAGAGAGAGAGAAAGAGATAGATAGAGAGAGAAAATAAAGTGTGTTTGTGGAGAGAGAAAGAGAGAAAGAGACGAAAATGAGAGAGAGAAAGAAATGAGAAATAGAGTGAATGAGAACTTGAGACTTGAAACCAACAGATAGAGAGAGAAAGAGATGAGAATGAGTGAGAAAGTAAGAGAGAGATAGAGAAAGAAAAAAAAAAAGGTTTGTGAAATCAATTTGTACAGATAAAAATTTGTAATAGATTTTATCTTGGTGAATTTTAACAGATAAAAAGACTCTCAATAGTGACAATCATTTACGATCACTATATCTCGCAACTAGGGGTGTTCAAAAAATTGAATTACTCGTAGAATCGACCCAACTCGACCGATCCGTTCATGTTACAGGCAGTTTCAACCAATTTTACGGTCGACTGCGGTTGAAATTCTTCAATTTCATTTAATTTTCGATCGGAGATCGAATTTAATTAAAAAATATCGACCCAACCTAACCCGACCGAAAATATGTATGTGTATTATATATGTTTTTAACCATTGCTTGAGATTTACTTGCCTACAAAAATGAAGCAGCAGCATAACATCATTATTATTTTTTTCAAGAAAACTTTTATATCTTCCCAATGCATTTATCATCTTCCCAAGTGATAAATCTGACTTCTCACCAACCCCTTTGTCTCCTCCACATCATCACGTTTCATCTCTCTCATTTCCTTTCCTCTGAAACCTCTCATCTCCCTTTTCCTCAACCTTTTCGACTCTATCCTTTTCTCTCTCTCTTTGAAAGATAAGCTCATCCTTTATTATTTCTGTGCTTTTTTTCTTCCTCCCTCGTTTGGCTCTCTCTTTCTCTGTTTCCTTTTGAGAGACAAACCAATCTAAGTCTTTCTCATCTCTGTTTTCCCCCCGTTTTCTCTCTCTCTCTCTCTCTCTCTCTCTCTCTCTCATGACAAACCCATCTCTCACTATCTTCCTCATCTCAGTAACAATGGTGGTGATTGCGATTGTGTGAGCAATGATTGTGATGTTGTTGAACGGTGGCGTGGACAATCACTGAGGGTATGGTAAGTCTCTTCCTCCCTCTCTCTCTCTCTCTCTTTCTTCCCTATATTCTATCTTCCATTCTTTTTCATAGGTTTGTACGTACATATATATATATATATATGTATATATATAATTTTAAATTTGTTGTTTTGAAATTTTATTTCATTTTTCATATATATTTTTTTATATTTTTGTTAGATATTCAAAATCATCCGAACCGATCGCCAAACTGATCTCTTCTATTCGGTCGATTTCAAATAGTAGTTCGGTCGATGACAGATGGCTGATTCTGTAACCCGAATGTGTCGGTTCGGCGAATGGGTTAAGGGTAAACCCGAGCTGAACCGACCCGTGAACACCCCTACTCACAACTAACAACCACCTTAGCTACTATCTCTAATTATCGATAACAACTTCTTTTTACTTTGTGTTGTGAAACATTTAAATTAATAATTATTAATTAAAGCAATTGGATTTGATAGGACAAGAAATTATTTTAAGAGTTTTTTTATTGATAAATCTCATTTAGAAGTGTTCTAACCCAAGAAGTCCATAAAGGAATTTTTTAATTCACTTAGTCTCATGTATTTATACTTTTATTCTATAAAGTCTTTTTTCTTAATTTACATTATTTTCTTAGACTCTTATACCCTTATATTTAATATTAATGTTGATATTTAATGTTGGGGGAGGAGGGAGGAGAGAGAAGAGAAATGACTAAGATATAGGAAATTTTATACACAAATTAAATAATATTAGTGTTATTATTTTATATTATTATATAATGTGAATATATTTTTTATTGACAACACATTAAAATAACGTTCATTATATTTTTAATTGACAACATATTCTTATTCACAATATGTAGTGATGTGAACATTCACAACATGTGAACATTCTCTCTCATCTAACATAGTGATGTGAACGTTTACATTCGTATATTTTAGTATGAATATTCACATTATGTAATTAACAACACAATGACGAAAATTCATTTCAAATTAATGTGAATATTCACATCATATAATTGACAACACAATGACAAAATTTATTTCAAATTAATATGAATATAGTGATAGTCAATATCTTGATGTATGAGAATTACAAAAATATAATGACAATCAACATTAAAATATCAATATTAATAGGGGATAGGAGAGATTGAGGGTGTTTTGATCTTCTTACCTCAAATAGAACATAATGAAATAGTCAAAAAATAATATGAATTGGATGGAATAAAACTCTTTAAAAAAAAATTTATATAAAAAAAAAAGCTTCCTTATTTTAATGAACTCATAATGTTCAATTTTATTCACACCTATTTTTTTTCTTTGGGCAATCGGACAATCACGTGTTTTCTAAAATAATACGAAAAGATATTTTAAAATATATAAATAAGAATTTGAAATTATAATTTTTTTAATATTTAATATTTAATATATTTTTTTTTTTGACAAGACTTTTATTACTTCATAATGAAGTTATGCACATACAACTTACAAGATGTGGCCCTCACCGATCACGTGGCGTGATTCCGCACCAACCATTTTCAACCAGGCAACATAATTTATATTACAAAATCGTATTAAATTTTTATTATCTTTGTTTTTTTTATTTTTATAAAAAAAACAGTCACTGCTCTCTGTGGTGGATTCCATCGACTTCACCAACGGTCTGCAGCAACACGACTCTCTCGGCCTTCTCTATCCACGTAACTATTTTCGTCTCACTCTCTCTCTCTCTCTCTCTCTCTCTGTCCTTGTTGCCTATGGTTAGTTATTTTATTTTATTTTTTTTAACTTTGATTATTTGGTAGTAGTTGGGTTGCATGATTTGCCAACCATACGGGATGATTTTTGTTTTTTGAACAAACCGTATAGGATGATGATGGGTCATTACCAAAGTTGATAATATTGTACAGGATTAGGTACCCTTTTTTATTTTATTGGTATGATACTTATTGGTATCGGTATGTTATTGGAATTTGGAATGAATTTTTATATGATTTTTTTTTATTTAGAAAATATTTCAAAAAAAAAAGTATAAAAATTCTTTAGTAAGTTTTAGATAAATTTATAATTTCAAATTATAATACTCCAATGTAAACACTCAAATATAACAATCTTAAAAAAACTTCTTAATATGCATTTTTCAAATGTAATATGTAATATAACACTAAAAAAAAAAAAAATTATTTAGTGCAACACTTCAATATAATACATAAAAAAAATTCTTTAGTATGCTTTTTTCAAACGTAACACTCTAAAAAAAGGATGTGAAATTCTTCAAAACATTTCAAAAGGATGTGAGACTCTTCAAACCATTCCAAAAAGTGTACAAAAATTTCTTAGTAAGATTTGAGCAAAAGTATAATTTCAAACTGTGAGTGTTACGTTTAGGAAAAGTACACTAAAGAGTTTTTTCGTATTTTTTTGTGTTACATTAGAGTGTTACGTTTCGGATTATATTGATTAGAGTGTTACATTTGAAAAAAATATACTAAGAATTTTTTTGTATTACATTAGAGTGTTACGTTGCTATATTTGCGAAAAGTACGTTAAGGAGTTTTTTATTGTATTACATTAGAGTGTTATATTCTTGGAGTGTTACGTTTTTATTCGTAATGTGGAATTTGTTCTAGCAGGAGGAAAAATTCAAAACCTTTATAGTGCGGATTGCCTAATGTGTAATTTCACACTTAGAGAAACCTACTTTTATCTCTAAAAAATTAAACCTAAATGTGTGGATGACTATCATTTTGTATAATTTTCACTTTAATGAGACATTTGGGTTCATAAGAAAAAATTGAGAATTAAATCGTTCATAAGATTACATTTTAAAATTTATTGGTATTTCACCCAATTTATAATTTATCTCATATCTTAAATATATTATATTATGTTTTATATTCTTAAGTATTACATATGATCCTTGAACTTTTATATATAATTTGGACAATGAAACATGACCTTAGAATAACCAAGACATTTGGCTTGGTGATTGTGTAAAACCCTTTGTGGTGCCAGGTCTCAATTTCTATGAAAAGAATTTTGATACCTTTTGTGATGGTGTTTATTTCACCACATCATGGGAGTTGCATGTAAGTAGTAGGAGAGTGATTGTTGGGTTTGAACTTAATGAGATTGGTAATTAGTTGTTAGACAAACTTTGTTGACTTTTTTAACTATTATGGACTAATAGTGTTTGATGATGTAATATTTTTCATAATTATGGGGGATTCTATTTGAATCCAAAATATATCTCAGTATGCCTAATTTAATTTAGAAAATTTAATTCCTATTATATTTTAATATGAATTTATTAGTAAGGACAACACATATTAAATCTTAAATTAATTTTTTTCCCTAATGGTACACCCTAATCAATTGTTCCTATTAAAATCTCTGTATCTTCTTCCCCAAGAGATCAAAGTTATTTGTTTTTCTTCTTTTTTTTCTTCTTCCCTCCAAAACTTCAATCCACCCCACCAAAACTCATCATCATCATCAACATCATTTTTTTTATAATTATTTTGAAACCCTAAACCCTATAAGTTTAAACAAAATCAAATAATGGATGAAAGTAATAATCAAAATAATTTTTTGAAACAACCCATAAAAAAGGAGGTAAGTTCATATAAAGGGATTTCACAATTTTTGTAGAGCACTATCAATTATTTTCTATATTGTTTTTTTGACAAAAATTAAAGGGCACGGTAGTTAGATTAATAATAACATATTATTTGAGTTGTTCTTATTTTGTAATTTAAATAGTATATTATTTGAGAACTACTCTTTCTTGTTAGTGCTTGATGCTTATGTGTTTATAAGTTTGGTTTTTACTTTACCAAGAGCATTCTTGTGGATAATTGATAATGTATGAGTTTTTTTTTTTTTTTTTTTTTTTTTTTTTTTTTTTTTTTTTTTTTTTTCATTTCAGTATTGAAAAGTTTTATAATGCTTATGTAAAAGTTTGGTTTTCTCTATATTTATAATGCTTATGTACATATAAGTTTGGTTTTTTTTCTTTTCTTTTCTTCTTTTTGTATTTGAGAATTATTTTCTGTATTGAAAAGTTTTTGAAATAATTTAGCTTTTTTAGTTTGCTAATTATTATTTATTATTTGGGTTTACCTTGAGGGTAATTTGGATAAAATATTAGGGTGTAATGAGAGCAAAATAAAATTTTAAATAATTAAATAAAATGTACTTAGAAATTGAGAATACTTAATGATTTTTTGAGTGGAAATAAAATCTCCCATACTTATAATTACTTTTCATTTTTTGAAAATAATAATAAAATAAAAAAAAACCTTAGAATAATTAGTAATAATCTCGAGTACTTGATAGACTTGAGTCATTTAATAATAGAGCAATGTACTAACAACAGATAAAAGGAAGAGAAGGCGATTTTTGATGGAGGACATCTTTAATAATAATAATAGTACAACGAAGACCAGTAATAGAGAGGTGAATCCGGAAATCATGGAAAGTGAAATGATCATCAAGGTAGAAGAGTTGTTCACACCTCGAATACCAAGAGTTCCACCGATGATGAGAAACCATGAAAATAACAAGGGAATGTTTGATCCAAAAAGGGTTTCTATAGGTCCATACCACCATGGCAAAGAGGATCTCCAGCTTGTAGAGAACATCAAGCCTATGGTAGCAACACTGTTTCTACGAGATAGCGGCAAGAGCATGGATGAGGTCTACAGCATGATTCTTGAAAAGGTTGTTGATGATGCTAGAAGCTACTATGTTAAACGTTCAATCGAGGAATACAATCGTGAGCAATTTGCAAAAATGATGCTCTTGGATGGTTGTTTCATTCTAGCTATAATTGAGGACTTCCTCTCTCTTTCTCTTGCTTGTCAAAAATCAAAATATGATGATGTTAGAAATCATCTTGGCATTTTTCTTTGGTTTTCAACAATTCAAGATATATTTTACTTGGTCGAGAATCAACTCCCATTTCAAGTTCTTGAGTTGCTAATGAGCTTAAATTTCAAAGAAGATGAGGGGATGGAATCCATCAACAAGTTAGTGAATTTTTTGATTTCTAAAGACATTAGACATATTCAGGATAAGGAGAAAGTTAATGTTAATGAAACTGACAGGGAATCTTCTCATCTTCTTCAATTGGTGCGGACAAAGTATCTCAATCTCAACAAATTCCAATGTAAGCAGCGCCATAAGGATTACATTCGGTACTTACCTTTTGTCAAGAAAGAAAAATATTCCAAACCTAAGGACAATCTGATGGAATATGTTCACTCATTTCGTTCAGTTACTGAGCTCAAAGCAAAAGGGATACTTTATGCCTAACAGTTCTTTATCTCTTGAGGCTATTGAGTTCAAATCTCGTTGCTTCTATGGACATCTTGAACTTCATCCTTTCATAGTTTCTCGAGCGACCAAACTATTTTACTCAAACATGCTTGCTTATGAAATGGTTTCAAGCACTAGATATGAGGACTCTGTCATTAGCTCTTACATTGATTTCATGAAATCACTGATTGACAACCAGGATGATGTGAAAGAGTTGCGGTCAAAGCATATACTATTCAACAATCTTGGCAGTGATCAAGAAGTGGCTAATGTTTTCAAAGAGATTACCACTGTTGGATCTAGGATTGAACCATACAAGAATGTCATGCAGAGGATTCAGGATCACTATAACAGCACCGCCAAGACTTGGATGGCGGAATTTATTAACAAATATTTTAGCGGACCATGGACAGCTATTGCTTTGGTCTCCAACCCACTAGGCATATCATGTTTGTTAGTCAAAATGCCTAGTATAACTTATTTTTTTCAACTCCAATGCACTAGGCATATGATTAGGCATTTTAGCTCAACTCACATTCACTAGCTACATGTAGCTAGCCTTCAAGACTAGGCAAAATATATTTAATCATTAGGATCATTTCCCTCCATCTTTGTTGCTGATGTGGCATTTTATAAAATTAATAGTATTTAGATGAATAGCTAAAATAAAGAGCATGGTTGGAGTAGAAATATGAAATAGTTGATAGGCAAAACAAAATATATACTTTATAGTAATATTTTGATAGGTAAAATGCCTATTATCGTTGGAGACAAAATCTCTGGTCACTCATCCCATAAATAAAGAAAAAGTACACCAACAAAATTTCACTACTAAATTTGTATTAATTCCTAAGTGCCAATTTGTTTTGATGTCTCTCCTCGTATTTTTCTTCTATTTGTTCTCTAGGTATCATCAAGATTTGTGTGAGCAGAGGGTACGTGTAACCCCTTCTACTCTTTTTTTAGTGTGCGTTTGTCTGTATATTAGAATTTATTACATGCTTTTTCTTACAATAATTGTGATTAGTGCTCTTGTAATTTGTGTTTTCGTGAGAAACACAACAATAAATTTGTTCCTTGTTACTTTTTATTAGACTTATTTTATATTTTTCCTTCCTATTTTTTTTTTTTTGGATGAGATTATAATACGATCACTTCTTATTAAGAAAAGTTAGAGAGGAAATACTCCTCGATGATCTCTAATTGGTCCTTTTTGAAGAGAACCAAACCTCATACACTTTATAATGGAACACTTCTCAAATAAACAATCTCCCTCTTCATTCATTAATATTGTTTTTGTTTTTATACTAGAGATAATTTCAGACTCAAATAAACAATCTCCCTCTTCATTCATTAATACATTTCACAATGGTCACTGCCT